ACTTAACATGTTATGACATAATATCTATTTAAAAAATAAATTGCAAGTAAATTTCAAAAGACTAATAAGCTGTAAATGTCAGAATTTCATTCTTTCTTAAGATTGAATAATAATGTTTTCTGTATATCTTTATCCATTCACTTATTGATGGACACCAAGTTTGAGTCCATATCTTGGCTGTGGTGAATAGTGAACATGGAAATGCAAATCCTTTGACAGGTTGATTTCATTTCCTTTGGATGGAATAAGCCAATCACAAAAAAATAAATACTGCACATTATCTCTCAAGTGGAAGTTTTACAAAGTCTATCAGAACTAAGAATAGTGATTGCTACTGGCTGGAAAGGGTGGAAGGAGTGGTGATAGAGAGAGTTGGGTAAGTGACACTAATATGTGGTTCAATAGAAGGTATAGGTTCTAATTTTCCACAGTGTAGGGGGGCAGCTGGAATATATAATATATTCTGTACAAAGAACTAGAAGAAAGGAGCTGCTGGTAGAAAAGATAAGGAGATGGAAATGCTACCTGTCTGATTTGATCAGTTTATACGTATATATGTGCTAAAAGACTACACATAAAATATACAATATTGTTAGTCAAAATTGTTTAAAGTTAAAAAATCCAGATCTATTCAAAATATTAAGATCACCTGTGTTGCAATGTATTACAACTTCAGAAGCATTTCCGTCTATTTAAGATTTTCAAATTTTGAGTTAATTCTGTTAACAATCCAATGTCTTTGGCAAACAACATTATTTTCGTATTTCAAATGGTGCCATTGTAACAGAGAGTATAAAGACTTACCCAAGCTCTCCCAGCTAAAAAGGAGATGTTTTCCTTTACTTAGCTACTCTACCTGCCTCAATTCCACATTCCCAACCCCTAACATGACCATTTATATATACTGAAATTCTTAACTTTCCTCCAAATTCCCAGTTCCAATATTTCTCTTTTCATGAAGATACCTCCAATACTTCCAACTAACACTGAGAGTTTCCTCCTTTGACCTCATAGCACCTCATCTCTTTCCCCATCAACAGTAAATGGATTTGGAATCAAAAGATTTGGTTTGTATTCTGCTTCATAATTTCTTATTTGAATGAGTCTAACAACTAAGCTAAACTAAAAGGGCCAGCATTGTGGTGCAGTGGATTAAGCCACCACCTGCAATGCCAACATCCTATATAGGTTTCAGTTTGAGTCTCGGCTTTTCTACTTCCACTCCAGCACCCTGCTAATGCACCTGGGAAAGCAGCAGAGGATAGCCCACGTTCTTGGGTCCCTGCCACCCACATAAGAGACCCAGATAACTCTGTGATTAACACACAGTTATTCTTAGGTGTTTAAATTTTAACTGAAAAATGATCCCTGTTAAATATAAGAGTGGGAATAAGAGAGGGAGGAGATGTACAATTTGGGACATGCTCAAGCTGACTTGCCCCAAATGGTGGAGTTAGAATCATGCCAGGGGATCCCAATACAATCCCTTCAAGGTGGCATGTACCAATCCCATCTCACTAGTCCAAGTGATCAATTTCAGTTCACAACTGATCACACTGATAGGTCTAAGAGTCAAAGGGATCACACAAACAAGTCCAGTGTCTGCTAATACTAACTGATAGAATCAAAAAGGGAGAGAACGCTCCAACATGGGAAGTGGGATACACAGCAGACTCATAGAATGGCAGATGTCCTAAATAGCACTCTGGCCTCAGAATCAGCCCTTAAGGCATTCGGATATGGCTGAAGAGTCCATGAAGTATTTTAGGCATGGAAAGCCAAGACACCCTGGAAAAAAAAAAAAAAAAAAAAGGAAGACCTAAATGGAAGATCTCTGCGAGTGAGATCCCAGTGGAAAGAATGGGGCCATCAAAGAAGGAGGTACCTTTCTCTGAAGGGAGGAGAGAACTTCCACTTTGACTATGACCCTGTCCGAATAAGATCGAAGTCAGCATAATCAAAAGGCTTCCATAGCCTTGGCAACTCATGACTAGAGCCTAGGGAGATTACTGACGCCATAAACAAGAGTGTCAAATTGTTAAGTCAACAACAGGAGTCACTGTGTACTTACTTCTCATGTGGGATCTGTCCTTAATGTGTTGTCCAATGTGAAGTAATGCTATAACTAGTACTGAAACAGTATTTTACACTTTGTGTTTCTGTGTGGGTGCAAACTGATGAAATCTTTACTTAATATATACTGAATCGATCTTCTGTATATAAAGATAGTTGAAAATGAATCTTGATGTGAATGGAATGGGAGAGGGAGCGGGAGATGGGAGGGGTGAGAGTGGGAGGGAAATTATGGGGGGGCATTGTAATGCATTAACTGTACTTTGAAATTTATATTTACTAAATAAAAAATTTTTTAAAAAAAGAGAGACCCAGATAAAACTCCTGGTTCCTGGCTTTGCCTGGCCCAGCCATGGTCATTGTGGTCATTTGGGGAGTAAATCAGTGGATGAAAGATGTCTCTCTATCTCTCCCAATCTTTCTCTGTAAGTATACCTTTCAAATAAATAAATAAATCTTTTTTAAAAATTCCCCATTTAAAAAAAAAACTAAAAACAACAACTACTTGAATGACAGTTTCCTCATTAGTATAATAGAGGACATGGAATACATGTCCATAGAAGTATTTAGAAGTTTAATTTTATAAAGAAATACGAAAGAATCATGTGAAATGTAAAGCCCTAAAAAAAGTCACATTCCATGTGTGTGTATATATGTATTTATATACATATATATTCTTCTGTACAGCTTTTATTTCTCCTATGATTTAGGGAAGACTCCATATCTAACAAATATCTGTCATTGTACTCCATGGTGCTTTACAAAAACTTATTTATTCAAATTTATAAAAGAAATGTATGACTGCATTAATCAAGTTTCATAAAGTAGAATGTTCACCATTACCACTAAATGTGAAAGACCAAAATCTGACTTCAACCTGTCTTCGATCTCATTGCCCATTTTTTTCCCCATAACTCCAGCTAACCTAGATTATTCCCGACTCCCTAAATATGCCCTCACATTTCTGGCTCCAGGTCTTGGCCCAAATCTTACTCTTTCTGTTGTTTGTCTGCTGAAATAATACTCATCCTGGTATACCCAGCTCAAATGCCCTTTTCTCTATGATGCTTTCCCTAACCCTCCCCATTAGAAACGAGTACTTCCTACTCTCAATTACATCACATTGTTCATATTTCTCACAGATCTTCTCAGCTGGCAACATATATTTCCTTGTGCATGCAATGTCAAATCTATTTAAATCATGCAAAGATTAGCACTGCTTTACTTATCTTTATGTCCCATCAAAAATACGAAGCAAATTTCTGCATATTTTCATTCATGGAAAATAGCATTAAAAGATAAGCTTAATTTGACTCAAAACAAATGTTAAATCTATGACTTTTTTCACAATATGTAATTTTCATGAACTTTGATACAGGTGTTCAAATATTCATACTATTTGTCTTCCATGTAATGGGTATACAAATAATATATGTACCTTAAATTTCTGACTGCATGTGTCTACCTAATAAAGTGCCACCAAAACATGACAAATCCAAACATTATAAAATTTTCATATAAAGTCATTATTTCACATTCTTACTAAAATATATATAAAGTACTTATAATCTGATTTCCTCCATAACCTGCAGCATGTTCTTATAAATTGCATTTTTTCAGTTTACAGAATGGCTTGTTTGAAAGTATTCAACATGACTTTTGTTCAAAAAAATTAAAAGAAATTTTAGAAAACCATCAGAGGTTGAAATGTTATAAAAGCACATATTTTAATTTTTCCTCATAAGTATCCAAGTTAACATAGGTTACCAACAATCATCATTGCTGTTATTATCAGAACAGAGATTTCATTTATAAACAGACTACAAAGCCTTGTCTCTCAGGGATATTTAATCATCACATAATCCTTCAATGCCTGTTATCAGTTGCTTCCTGGGCCGTTTGTGGACATAATGCATGGACAGCCCACTAACAGCTGTCTCCAGATAGATTAAACAAATGTACCCTCTCATCAAGTAAGAGGACTCAGATCTCATTAAAAACTGAACCTCTTCGGAGACCCTCAACTTCTTTATTACTTTACTTATATTATTAGTCCATCTTCACAGTATTATGTCTGAACTCCAGAGCACTTCTGAAGTTTTTGTGTGCTCTCTTGTTTTTTGGTCCCTTCCCTCTTAAATTCTCCCAATCTCCACCTATTAAAATGACTACTTTATTCTGGCCTTTAAGTGCTAAGCTAATATTAACTAACCTAATGAGAATTACTTTCTTATCCTCAATCAGAGTAAACAGCCTAGTATGCATCAATGTCACTCCTGGCCCCTTAATTTGATGGGTTAGTAAAGCTTACTCAGGTACAAACCTTGGAAATACAAACTGTGATTCTCTGAGAAGACAGCCATACAGGCTGAACCTTCTCAAAGGACTTCAGTGTGTGACCGGATTTACACTATTATTGACTGTCAAGGAATGAGGAATTGAAACCTCACTGGTATGTCAGAATTACCAACATGGAAAGGGATGTGCAAAATGAAAAACTTTACTCAATTTTATATTAAAATTGTACTTAGAATTTAAAAATCCCAGTTTTTTTTCCTGAACATAAATATGATCATAGTTAAGACTGAAATGTTGGTAGGCAGAAGCACCAACTTAAAAGCTAATGCAAAATCATTTAAATAAATGAAGAACATAGACCATACATGTGGAGTGAAATGAACAGTTGCTTAATATCTTTCAGTCAATTCATATTTGTATTATGTGCCAAATTTTCAGAATATTGGCAATATTTTGGACTTACTATTGAAGAAAATGTGAAACAAACTCAAATATACAACTGACAGATTAGAAAAGAAGGAAGAAAAGAAACTGAGGGAGAAAAGGATCAGAGAAAAACAACTCCATTAGAATTGATAAGCACTATTTGTGGAAGTTGATGACATGGCTCAGTGAATAAACGCACTCACCTCAGTTAAATGAGGATTGGGATTAAAGCCACAGAGACTACACACAGTGGTTTGACACTCAGTGCACGTGTTAAAATTGGCCTTTTCTGGAACATCCAACAGAAGTTCAGTGGTATTGCAAAGAGGACAGATGGTTTTAGGAAGGCCCTGTACTGGAGTCTGTGCTACAGATGGAGTTGGTGGTGCCTGCGGAGGTTTCCCAGGTTCCATTTGGCAGACTGTTTTTGTAGACTGCTGAGCTGAGGGCTTTATCGGGCCAGGCTGTTGAGCTGGGGGCTTTGCTGGGCCAGGTTGCTGAGGCGCAGGCTTTGCTGGGCCAGTCTGTTGAGGGGGCTTTGTTTGACCAGCCTTTTGAGCTGGGGGCTTTGCTGGGCCTGGCTGCTGAGCTGGGGGCTTTGCTGGGCCTGGCTGCTGAGCTGGGGGCTTCACTGGACCAGACGGTTTAGCTGGAGACTGTGGTCCAGGTTGTTGAGCTTGAGGTTTCGGTGTCCCCGGCTGCTGGGCTGGGGACTTTGCTGGCCCAGGCTGTTGAGCTGGAGTCTTTCCAAGCCCAGAAGGCTGAGCCACAGACTTAGACCCAGGCTGCAGAGGTGAAGGCTTCTCTGACCCAGCCTGCTGAGTTGTAGGCTTTGCTGTCCCTGGTGGCTGGACCAGGGGCTTCACAGTTCCTGGCTGTTGAGCTAAGGACTTTGCTAGCCCTGGTTGCTGGATAGGTGGCTTTGTAGCTCCAGGCTGTGGTTTTTCAGGTCCAGGCTGAGGTGGAGGCTTTCCAGAACTTGTTTGCTGAACAGGAGGTTTGGATAAGGGCTTAACAGATTCTCCTTTTACTACATCTGACTGTTTAGTCTGAGGCCTCGTTGCATCTCGCTGAAGTGGCAATTTTGCCTGGTCTGTCTGAGAAACCTGAGCAGGCCCCTGGCCCGGCTTTCCTGAACCTGGAGGCTGTGATTTGATTCTTTCTGGTTGCTGAGAAGATGTTGACCTAGGAGAGCTGTCTTGCTGAATTGGGTCCCTAACAGGCCCTTGTTGCTTAGGAACTGGCTTGGGTGACTGTTGTGATGGAGCTTTTGTGATTCCTTCCGGTTTTCCTTGCTCCTTCTGAGCTACTTTTTGTTTCTTGGCGGTTTCTTCCTGTGATGTGTCAGAGTCTGATATCAAATCAAAAGGGTTGAATTTATTTACAACAGAGGAGACAGCACTTAAAGGGTTAACCTCTGAGAGGAAGCCAGGCATCATACTAGATTTGTGCTCTTCCTTAAAATCAGTCCTGGACTTTGATTCTTTCAAGCTAATAGTGGAAGGACTCCTTCCAGGCAATTTCTGCTCTGACCTCAAAGTGTCTGTAGTTCTACTTTTACTGAGACCAGGCTGAACTGGACGCCCAGGGTCTGGTGGTTTTCCTGGTTGCTTAGGAGGATGACTGCTATCCAACTCTTGTTTCCTAGAAGAGTGAAAGAAAAAGAAGTGAAAATAATGCAAATCAACAATATTAAGCAGTATTGATTTCGTATATCCTCAAAATTATGATTGTATAACTAGGACCAGTTTTGTAGTATCCCATAAGCGATCATAAAACTTTTTAAAACTACTTTGAGAGGCAAAATGACAGGGAGAGAAAAAGACAGAGCTACCATCTGTTAGTTCACTCCCCAAATGCCTGCAGGGGCAGGGCTGAAGCCAAGAACCAGGAAATCAATCCAGGTTTCTCATATAAGTGGCGTGAACTCCATTACTTGAATCATCACTGCTGCCTCTTGGGGTCTGCATTTGCAAGAAGGTAGAGTCAGGAGCCAGAGCAGGAAACTGAACCCAGGCACTCTGATGGGGGGATGAGAGTATCTTAACCACCAGGCTAAATGCCTGCTCCTCATCCTAAAATTTTGCCTTTGCTACATCTTCACATGGGTAGCAATTTTCAACAAACACACGAAGAAAAAGCAATACTTGTTACAAGTGACAAAGAAAAAGCAATACTTGTTATAACTGATGAAAAATTAAGATACATAGTTAGGAATTAGTTATAACAAAAAATAATTACCCTTAACAAGCTGCTCAGACTTAAAAACTAATTAAATACAAGTTTAAACTAAATTTTCAATAAATCAATGCCATATTATATCTCAGACATATGTGCCCAAAGGGCATCTGAAGTTATGACTAAATAAAGTTAGTTCTCCAAATACCACCAGCATTCAGAAGGAAAACTATTCATTTTTAAAGAGATAAGGTTTTTTTTAATTTTTTAACTTGATTTTGAGAATTTATTAGTTACATAAGGCACAATGTGACACTAGGGAAGTTTTGGTAACAGAAGTTACAACAGTCTTCTCCAAGAACGCTGAGGAAACTGGAAATCAATCCAATTTTATTGTATTCTGTCTAGAAAGGTTAACAACCATAAAAGCATCCTTAATAAATTTTGTAGAATAAGAATTTCTACTTTCACTACTTAAGATACTGTTGAGAAAAAAAAAGTCCCATCTTTCTTGTGGAAGAGCAATCATGTTTATTTTTGTTTTCTAATAGCTAAATATTACTCTGAATTTTCTATGGAAATTCATAATAGTTGCTTAAGGCATCCTGAGATATATCCTAGATCTAAATAGTAAAAACCTGGTTGTGATCTTATTTTTGAAAACTGTCACTTTCCCAGATTGGAAAAAAAAATACACAATAATCACTTTACTTAATGTTTGCTACATCATTAATTATTGCCACTGATAAATTAGTAATATTACCAATATTGAAATGATAAACAAGGTTTATTTTAATTCATAAATATAAAAGGTAGAGTTTTAAAAATATAAAAAAGCAGAGTTTTAAATGACTATGATTAAATATTTAAAATAGACATTTGTTTATCATATATTTTTGACCAGAAGTTAAATTAAGTACAACAATCTTTTAAAGCCATTTTTCATTAATAAAGTTACAAGTAAAAGAATATTCTGCATTAGAATTATGGAGAAAATCAGATAAATATTTTTGCTTGATTTTTAATTTTGCAAAAGGAGAAACAGTGATTCAGTAGCACCTAAAATATGACAGGATCATAATAAAGTTCTAGATTATTCTAATCCATTTTGTCAAATTTCACCTAATGGACCCGTCTACAAATTTTTAATTTCCTTGATTCAATGATTAATACGAATTAAGTTTTTCAGCACTTCCCATTAGGAAGATCTGAGCACAGATCAAGATATAAGACATAGTAGTAAAGCTGAGAAGCACTATTTACAAATAGCTAAGACTCAGGTAGAAAGAATAACCTATAAATGGCAATAAGTAAACAAACTAATTTTCTGATAAAGTATGAATAAACAGAATTCAGGGCCAGTACTATGGCATTGTAGCCTAAGCCTCAGCCTATAACACCAATATCCCATATGGGTGCCAGTTCATGTCCCAGCTACTCCTCTTCCAATCCAGCTCTCAGCTACGCCCTGGGAAAGCAGTAGAACATGGCCCAAGTGTTTGGGGCCCTGCCTCCACGTGGGAGACCTGGAAGAAACTCCTGGCTCCTGGCTTCGGATCAGCCCAGCTCCAGCTGTTGCAGCCATATGGGGAGTGAACCTGTGGATGGAAGACGTTTCTTTCTGTTTCTCCTTTCTCTCTGAGACTCTACCTCTCAAACAAATACATAAAACCTTTTAAAAAATAAATAAAAATAAACAGAATTCTTAGTTTTGGAATTCCCTCCAGGAAAAAAGTTTACAGAAGTATAAGCTGCATCAAGTCTCTGAAGTCTTTCCTTGAACAGGGAACTAAAATTACTACCCTGGTTGATTTCAACAGTTCCATGTTCTGTTTCAGAAAGCATTGCTATGTATCTCTTTTGGGGGAAAATCATTTTAGCATGTTTCTTTATAGTCCTTCCTGTGTAATCACTTCCATACAAAGGCAAAAATAGTCAAAGTAAACACCTAAAAATGCATTATTTTCAAAAAGGCACACTGGTCAGATCTTCACCAGTTTTCTACAGATATCCTAGATTCAATTAACTTACCACCCCCTCCTTCATCGGATTACATTATAAATGTGACTATGCTAGAAGTAACTTTTTAGGCATTCGGTTGAACTGGCTAGAAATATTTATTTAAAAACAAGACACTGGTGGTGCCACGGCTCACTAGGCTAATCCTCCACCAGCAGCGCCAGCACCCCGGGTTCTAGTCCCAGTTGGGGTGATGAATTCTGTCCCGGTTGCTCCTCTTCCAGTCCAGCTCTCTGCTGTAGCCTGGGAAGGCAGTGGAGGATGGCCCAAGTCCTTGAGCCCTGCACCCACATGGGAGACCAGGAGGAAGCACCTGGCTCCTGGCTTCCATAGCGGCAATTTTGGGGGTGAACCAATAGAAGGAAAACCTTTCTGTCTCTCTCTCACTAACTCTGCCTGTCCAAAAAAAAAAAAAAAAAAAAGACAAGAATCTCTGTTCTTTTTGTTACTAAACTGTTCTTTCCTAAAAATACTATTCAACATACTTTGGTAATTCCTTTTTGATGTTATTTCACTTCACTACCATATAGAAAAATTACCATTAATAGTAAACATTTGTAGTAAAAGTAAATGCTAAAACTGAAAGCAAGCTAGATTCATCAGAAATCATAATTGCATGTACTTCCAATAAATATTAAGTTGAACTATAGGTATTATAGAATACCCTGACAAAAAAATACCTATATAGTCGTAAGGCTACCCACAATTTTAGTTTTAGTTGCTATAGCTATGTAAATAAAAGCAAAACACAAAGTCTGTGATTTGGACGTAAAAAGAAAATCATTAAGAGAAGATAATGGCTTAATAATGAACAAAAGTGTGAAGGTGCTAACAATGGTCTTTTGGTGATTTTGTTGTTTGGTAAAACAGCTGTTAAAAGTGACTAAAGGGCAATCTGTGCCTCTTTTATAAGAGACTGTGAACTCCTAGAGAGCGAGCCTATTTCACTCATCCTTTTATCACTAGAACCAAGCCTGGAATCTAGTAGACGAGCATTAATGTTTGATGAATTAATGAATAAATGGATGATTAACAAGGAGCAGATGAATGAACATATCAGGTTTTAGTTTTACTCCAGATTAATGTTTTTTGAATTCTTTTCACTTCTAATTCCACAGACCTTCTCAGATGTAAGTGGAAATATTCTATATTAGAAGCTGGACTGTGCTGCTCCAGGGTTGGGGGGTGGGGGGGTGCAGAGACAGGTGTGAAGGTATCTCTCCAGTAGGGAAAGCTGAAAGGAATTCTAAAGGAAATCATCTCATCAGTCACAATTCATATAGAATATCCTAGTAATCATAAAAGTTTTTCAGTGAAGCCCTTCTCATATGACATATCCCTAATTGTAAATAAAATGAGAAGTCATAAAACTGCACTTTGCTGATTCTATAATGAATCGAAAATCCAAGGGATATTTTACATGTAATTTATCCTCTACTAACTTGTCTATTCAGGTTTAACACCATCTCCCTTTTCATTTCACTATTGTCCTCCTCAGGTTACAGTTTAACAAATTAACATTAACCTGTTTCACAAGTTAACAAAAAAAAAAATGATTCAGATTAAATGAGATAAATATATTATATAGGAATGTAACAAGAGGTGGAATGATGATTTTTTAAAAATGAAACACAACAAGCAATGGCACTTGACAGTGCTGAGTCACGTAAAATGTGAAAATACCAGAAATCTAAGCAAACAGAATTATCTATTCACTTTTTACTGTACAGGAATACTGGTGACTGGAAAAGCTAAGAAACTAATTCAAGGTCACACACAAAACTAGTTAGTCATAGATATCTAACATGGTTAGTGATCATGATTTTGCCTCCATCACACTGACATCTCTGTATGAAAGAAAACATAAATATATCAAAATAACTCATAACAATGTAAAATTTGACATACAATTTATCTGTAGCCAACACTAACAGTATCATTTACTACTGATAATGATCTAATCACAATCTACATTTTAGGGATTCCCTTAAGTAAAAAAAAAATAAATCTCTGTTAATTTTGAAGTGATCTTCACAATAATTTTCTTAGATAGGTAAAGCAGTTAGTATTAGTCTTTTTTAGAGTCAAGCAACCTGAGGCATATATTGATGGAGAAATATAAGTAGTTTGCTATGAGTCAGTTAAAAATCAGCAGGATAAGAATCTAACCTAGGACTTGGGGCTGTTGACTCTTATTTCATAAAACAAAGAAACAAATCCTATCATGTCTAATTCACATCACTCAAGCAGTTGAAAATTTGAATTTATTTTTGTATATATACATAAATTAAAGTGATTCTATTAAATCTAAATGATAAACCAAGTATTTCTTTCGTTATCATATATGAGGATAACACCTTTCCAAAAGTTATGTACCTTTTCTGGAACTCTTTCAGTGAAATACAGTCACGTTGTAAAAATCAGAAACATGGTCTATTTAACTCTTTAGAGGAAGCTTTCATCAAGAACTGTTTAGGCTACAAATTAACTTTTAATAAGAATTCCACCATAATATAATTATGAACAGAGAGCTTTAAAAGTATACTATCATCTGCTATACAAATATTGCATAAAGCAATAATATTATAGACAAATAACAGTTTTAGCCATCCTCTGAACAGAAGTTAAGAATCTAGAAATCAAACATACTTTTCTTGGTGTCTGTAACTAGCATGCTTTACCTGTTGCTTGTGCCTGTTAGAAAAAGAATTTTAGAAGACCTGGCATATCTTCTTCAAAAGCTAATAAAAACACTGTACCCTGATATTACCCTATGGAAATCTAGTGAATGAACACAATTTTTTTTCCAAATAAATTTTTCATGAAGTAGACAAAAATATATTATTAACTGTACTATTTAAGATCATGGATAAGAAAGACAATACTAATAGTAAACCAATATACTTTATATTACTAGTCTAAATATTAAACATTAATATAAAGGACTGGTTTTCACTAGTGGTGGTTTCCTTTCCATATGAATAGGGTTTTGACCTGATAGAATGTAGATGTCTAAGAGTTTATGTGAAAATACTGCCATTAAAAAAAATCTATAAAGTACTTTACATTTCTCCTATATTACACTAACAAAGGTATAGATAATTAAACAACAGTGATTAAGTGAAAAGGATTTCCTTTTTATGAAGTAGAGAATAAGAATCTACACGTCTATGCCTAGGTATTTTGCATATTCAATATTCCAAAGGAAAACTGCAGTTTTCCCATGCCTTCATGCAACAGGAAGGGTTTCAGTACCTCGGACAGAGAACTGCTACTGGAGGGTGCAAAGTTAAAGGGTTTGTTTACAATAATAAAGGCAGGGCAGATGCAGTGATTATACCTTCTTAGAAAACAACTAATTTACTGGGACGAATGGAAATGCACAGAGGGAATGAATATATTAACATTGCAGAAGGCTATTCCAACTGCCTGTGCAAGTTGTCATTTATTTGTTTTTTTTAAATGTGTACATAAAATTAATCTTAAGGTAACACAAATTCTCATATTCGTCCCTAAACTGAAAGTCACTTTTGCATTTTAAAAAAAAAGAGCAGCGGTTTAAAGACATCAGATGCGAATTCACAAATACATGTCCAGCAGCTGCTCTGCTGTGACCACACCATCTGTTTAATGCCACGGGTCCCTCACAGGATAGGAAAGGTATATTCTGTCTGTGCCTTCTACCTAACAGCCTCTGTTCTCTGAGGCTGGGGTGGGGAAGGAGCACAAATCACCTCCGGCGGAGGGGGCGGGGAGGGGATTAAAGGTGTCGTTCTAGCAATGACAGAGAAAGATCCCAAATGCTGGGGGGAGGAGGTTTCAACACAGGTAAACAGCCAGCCCAGCCACCCCCACCCCCCGCACATCCGTGTGGTATTCATGGAAGACTTCCAGATTAGTAGAGCACCGGAGGGCGTCTCTCCACGCCGCCCTGGAGGGACCCCGCTCCAAACGGCCAAACACCACAACCCAAAACCACGGTGCCAAGAACGCAGCCCTCGGCCATCCCACCAGGAAACTCTACACTGCATCCTCTTTGATTCTGCCCCTCGACAGCCTCACGCGGTCCTCATGGCCACCCCCGGCAGGGAGAATCACACGCACGGAGGCGACATGTCTGCACGGCCGTGCCGGCACGTATGTGCACGGGAAAGCCCTCCGCACACGCCCGGACATAGAGAGCATGCTGTGCGTGCCTGTGCGTGGAAGGCGACTCCGCAGCGGCCGGGGGGACGCCTCCCTTGGGCAGCCCCTGCGCCCTTGACATGACAGCGGCGATCTGTCTCCTCTCGTCTTCGCTCAACCGGCTCAGGTCCGCCTCCATGCCGGCCGGGAGCGCGGCGTGCGCGGGACTCGCCGCCGCCAGCTCTTCAGGCAGCCCTTCCCCTTCCAAGCTCGCCTCGTTGCCCATGGCTCAGGTGGACGCGGAGCCGCCGCGCTCGTTGCTGGCGCTGCGTCCGGAGCTGGGGTCCGCCGCGGGGCGTGCCGGCAGCTGCGGCCCCGGGCTCCGCACGGGGCGCCGCGGCACGCAACGCCGGGAAGCGATCAGTCTCGCTCGGAGGGGACGCCCCAGGCCGGTGCCACCTCCATGTTGGGCAGCGCCAGGCGACCGTGGCACGAGCCGCCCCTCGCACGCCGCCTCAGCTCCCCGAGCCGGGGAGAAGCAGATCTGAGCGGGGCCAGCCGGGGCGCCGTCCGCCCCTCCCACCGCGCCCCGCCTCCTCGCGGCGCGCATGCGCCTCTCGAGACGGGCGCGGGCTGGGGCCGCGCCTGTCCCTCCTCGCCCCCTCGCTGTGCGTCGTCGGTATCTGCGCGCGCCCTCGGCGCCGATTTAAAGGCTCCCGGCCAGCGCGCCGCCGAAATCTGGGGCGAAACGGCCCAGGTTTCTCTCAGGCATATTTCCGGATGCCTCAACCTGAGATTTGGCGGAGCCGACTAGGGGTGGGGGAGGGGCGAGAGGGCCCGCGTCCGTTTCCCGCGGTGGCTTACGGGATTTGTAGTCTCTTCATCCCATTCCCGCGGCCCCTCATCCCACTTTCCCATTCTCCCGGACTTTCACTCTCCAAGTGTCCCCTCTTCCTCTTTTTTCTTTCTTTTTATTTTTTTTTTATTTTTTTCTGTGACGGAAGGGTTTTAGGAGAGGATTCAGGTAACTGTAGGTGAACAAGACACCCCTGAAAGCTGAGGCAGATATTCTTCAAAGGAGCTACGGGGAAAGGGTGCTTTTCAGTCAGAAACTTCCCCCAATTAGATTTAAGTTAGTTAAAAGTATTCAAAGTCAGGTAAGAGTTGTAAACGCTGGAAGCTTAGGGTGCTCCCTGAAGGCACTACACTATATGAAAGTAAAGGATCATGGGAAATGGTGGAGCCTGGCTCCTGGCGTGAAGCCCTTGTAGTTAAATATTAAAATATTATGGGAATTATTGAAAACATGATTTAAAACCACCCTCCTCTTTTTATTTAACAAATGGGGATAGAACTCAAAAAAGGAAGTTATCAACACGGGCGGGCAGCCTTGTGACACAGCTGGTTAGGACATTGGCTTGGGACACGCACATCCCAGTGCTGGGAGTCCTAGCTGCTCCGCTTCAGGGCCAGCTCCCTGCTAATGCTCCTGGGAAGGCAGGAGGTGGCCCAAGGCCTTGAGCCCCTGCCCCCATGTGGCAGCCGGACTCCTGTCCATTTGTGAAACAGTAAATGAAAGAGTCATGTTTCTTTCTCCCTTTCTCTCTCGCTCTCCTCTCTCGCTCTCGCTCCCCACCCTCCTTTTTTCTGACACCCTCCCACCCAAACACATACAGTGTTGTTATTCCATTTCCTCAAGGTGACTGGATCAGCCTCCCCAATTTTGCTGTCTTTTCTGATAATAGGGAGCTAATGTCACCACTGTTGAGACTAAAGAAAAACATAACAGTTGGGAACAAGTCAAACAAGTAAATTTCAGAAAGTAATTTTCCTATTTTTCGCTATAATCATCACATAGTTTGATAGCAGTTCTTCCACTTGTTTTAAAACTGCATGGCATAGTTTTAATAGTTTGTGACAATGCTGTTTTTAGATGACTAGTCATCAAAGTTACATTATTATTTGAGTGCCTACAAAATTTTTGATTCTCCAATAAAATACTGAGATGCAACTTCCAACGGCAAAGAGTCACTTTATGAAGGAAATTTTCTGGCTTTATATAAAGAGATCAACCTGAGGCCACCCAACATTCTGATGGCCAGATTTGCTCACGCTTCTAGAAGTGTCCTTTCTTTGTTTCAGAGATGTAAAAAACAAAGCCGGAGGCATCACAATACCAGATTTCAGGACATACGACAGGGCAGTTGTTATCAAAACAGCATGGTACTGGTACAGAAACAAATGGATAGACCAATGGAATAGAATTGAAACACCAGAAATCAAACATCTACAGCCAACTTATATTTGATCAAGGATCTAAAACCAATTCCTGGAGCAAGGACAGTCTATTCAATAAATGGTGCTGGGAAAACTGGATTTTCATGTGCAGAATCATGAAGCAAGACCCCTACCTTACACCTTACACAAAAATCAACTCAACATGGATTAAAGACCTAAATCTACGACCTGACACCATCAAATTATTAGAGAACATTGGAGAAACCCTTCAAGATACTGGCACAGGCAAAGAATTTCTGGAAAAGACGCTGGAGGCGCAGGCAGTCAAAGCCAAAATCAACTATTGGGATTGCATCAAATTGAGAAGTTTCTGTACTGCAAAAGAAACAGTCAGGAGAGTGAAGAGGCAACCGACAGAGATGTATGTAATGAAGTTCATAATCCTGGATCAGCACACTTCTAACATTGACTTGTAGCTGCTCCGTGGTGCAGGCTGTTCTGGGAATCAGTAACATTCAGATGAATGTGAGGAAGAGGAAGCTATTATGTTCAAGTCTTGTGAGAAGAAAATCATGTTTGATGCCTTCTCATCTACACACCACAAGTTTCAAAAATTTAATGGGTACCCTCTCAAACTCCAGCCTCAGAATAATTAGTAAACTGAGGAAGTATTTTAATAACCCTATATTCTGTTCAGTTAGACATGTAAGAAAGTCTGTGAAGCAATCAGAAAAAAAGACATGATCATCAATATGCAAAGTAATGTTGATAGGCTAAGCAAAAGAGAATTTGTAAGATGGGAGCCCATTGTGTAAACATGTGTGTTCACCTTCTCCCCTCTCTTCCCTGGGAGCAAACATCACCTAAAAACAGGAAAATGGTGGGAAAAGTAAATGGACTTTGAAACAAGAAGTATGATGCTGATTGCACTGGAAAATATTTTGATTGTTCATATTTTAAATTGTGTTGCCTTTTGGGACCTGAAGTTTGAATTGTGTCTTTTTGTTTGTTTGTTTCCCCTATCTATTTAAGCTGGTGGTTGCTTATGCTTGAGAAATGTTTTTGTTCTGAAGAAAAACACCAAGACAGAATTCAGATATATTCTCTAGGTGTAATTCTCAGAAAGATAAGGTACAAGGAAACAAGTCAAATGCTGCAGATAATTTTATGAAATTTCTCTTTGCACATCCAGAAATATAATTAGTTTCATTCTTCAAATTGATGATGCTATATGCTATATTAAATATGTTTGTTGCTCCTTGTTCATTATATCATTAATGATCATTTTATCGAATTTATATGTAATTCAATGGGCTAGTAGGTGAGGTCTAATTCAGCCTTGCGGGTTGATCATGAAAGGAATTTCTGAAATCTTCTAGTGTTAACATAGTGTTACGTCACTTGAAAATGACCTATCAACTCCCAAAACACCAAATCTGCAAATCTTTTCCTTTTGTTTAATTCCTGCCACATTTTCCCAGGTAGTTTCAATTTTAGTAGATGATAAACAATGCAAGTATGATGATTAACAACTAACAATGACTAGATAATGATTCCTTGGAATGGGGTGGTCTAGTCTAACTAAACCATCTTGCATGGTTTCCTTGTAGAAACTGTGCAACACAGTATAAAATCAAAAGACCATCTATGTGTGGCCATAAATGTCAATACCTGAATGAATTGAAGACTTAGTAAAAATTTACACTTGAAATATTTCTCATAGAAAGATGTGTAGCCTATTTTTAAATACATACAATTAAATTACATTGGCATAGTTTAACCCATTTAAAAATAATGACATATTAATTAAAGTCTATTTAGCAACTAATAACCTAAATATTGGATTATTTTTAAAATTTCACTTCTGCCCCTATTAAAATCATTAGCATAATAATACTAGTGAGTACTATGTAAAATAGGCCATTTTCTAACATAAATTTGAGAACCTAACAGTAGCATTCAGGACTTCTGAGAAATAATTTAGTAAGAATTGTCAAGAACCCTGGAAAAGATGATCTGTGATATACTCCTGGATAACAGTCCTAAAGAAATCATTTGAGTTACAAAAGTGGCTTTATGAAAATGATATTTACTGCATTATTTATAATAATAAAACAATCATTATATTCTCAATATAGGGGAATGGAGAAGTAAAGTCTCACACAACTAGGTAATAGTATCTTCTGAAAGTATTGATTTTAAATGATAATTTAGAAAAGTGTACATTTGACAACACAGGAGGTAAATTTCTATAAATGTATATGATCATAAGCATGCAAAAAATGAAAGAAGCAACTGTACAAAGGAAATAAATGAAGCCAGGAAATAGTGAAAGCGTATACAGAGGGGACCTCAAGAAGTTCCAAAACACATGTTATGAAAATGTTTGGCAAAGTAGCAGGATATAAAATCAATGCACAAAAATCAACAGCCTTTGTATACACAGGCAATGCCACAGCTGAGGAAGAACTTCTAAGATCAATGCCACTCACAATAGCTACAAAAACAATCAAATACCTTGGAATAAACTTAAACAAGGGTTAAAGATCTCTACAATGAAAATTACAAAACCTTAAAGAAAGAAATAGAAGAGGATACCAAGAAATGGAAAAATCTTCCATGCTCATGGATTGGAAGAATCAATATCATCAAAATGTCCATTCTCCCAAAAGCAATTTATGCATTCAATGCAATACCAATCAAGATACCAAAGACCTTCTTCTCAGATCTGGAAAAAAATGATGCTGAAATTCGTATGGAGACACAGGAGACCTCGAATAGCTAAAGCAATCTTGTACAACAAAAACAACTCCAGAGGCATCACAATACCAGATTTCAAGACATACTACAGGGCAGTTGTTATCAAAACAGCATGGTACTGGTACAGAAACAGATGGATAGACCAATGGAACAAAATTGAAACACCAGAAATCAATCCAAACATCTACAGCCAACTTATATTTGATCTAGGATCCAAAACCAATCCCTGGAGTAAGGACAGTCTATTCAATAAATGGTGCTGGGAAAACTGGATTTCCACGTGCAGAAGCATGAAGCAAGACCCCTACCTTTCACCTTACACAAAAATTCACTCAACATGGATTAAAGACTTAAATCTATGACCTGACACCATCAAATTATTAGAGAGTATTGGAGAAACCCTGCAAGATACAGATACGGCCAAAGACTTCCTAGAAAAGACGCTGGAGGCGCAGGCAGTCAAAGCCAAAATTAACTATTGGGATTGCATCAAATTGAGAAGTTTCTGTACTTCA